AGGCACATCAGAACCTTGGGGTTCCATGTTGGCTTGCGGCTCGGAGAAAGGAGATAAATCCTCATCATTTGGTGGATGGTTTCCATCAAAATCAAAGTGCAATTCATCCCCCACTATGTTACTCAGATTTAGGTCAAATGGATAATGAGGGTTGCTTTCAATTTAGGCAGTGTTGAGGGTGACGAGACATGGTTAATTACATTACGGGTTAATGGGGTATACTCATGGTGGTGATATCGTGACAGTTGGGGTGGGGATGGTGAATGATAGGAAAAGTGGTTTAGTAATAGAGGGAGGGAGAGGTGCCATCGATGGCAATGTGACGGTGGAGCCGCCGATGGTTAGGGTTTCGGTGATAGAGGGTGAAGAAGAGGAAAGGAGGATGGTTATCGGAGTAACGACAGCATGGGACTCATCATAATCCACACGAAGAGTAGTGGTTTGACCGGTGGCAGAAACAGCGGGGGCCACGGGGGTGCTAGTCAGAGACGATGGTGTCCCTGAAACGGCTTCACCACTAGTGCTACTTGAAAAATCGGTGACAGGTTCACCGGCGGTTGCATCCTGTCGCAAGGATCATCGGGTCGGAAATGGGCTAGGGACAAGCCTCTTTGAGCGAGCCATGAGAGAAATAATCCAAAACTTGGAAGATGAGGAGGCTCTAAATGTTAATAAAAAATAAAACCTCTTAAGGACTTTTATAATTTCTATCAAAAGTTCAAAGAATAAACAAAAACTCAACATTTTCTTTTACAATGTTGAAGAGTAAGTTAAAGTCAACTTTTGTATCAACGTTTTTAGGGGCTTACTGATTTTTCAAAGTCCCGCCCAAAAATTGGGCAGTCCAGACCGTGGGTCCCCACTATAAGCACCCCTGCAAAAATCAAACATCAACTAAAGAAAAAGAAATATTTACACTATATACAAAGGTGGCTCTTAAAAATCAGAAATATTTTTGGCTTGGATATTGCATTCGTTCCAGAAAGAAATGATTGGCCCAATGCCCATTAACTTTGAAAACACTATTATCCTAGGGGTTCTAAAGATATATTGTTATGAACTTTTCCACTTCAACAATAATGAAAGGTCCTGACTATCTTGATTGAAGCTTTCCAGGAAAAAGCTTTAATCGAGAATTAAAGAGTAGAACTTTTTGACCTTTTTCCCAAAACCCGGTGATTAATCCTACGATCATGCCATGCTTTTGTTTTTTCTATATATAATTTGACATTCTCGTAAGTTTGGTGCCTCCATTCTTCCAACTCATTGAGTTGGAACTTTCTTTTCTTTCCCGCAGAATTTGCATTTAAATTTAATTTTTTAATTGCCCAAAATGCCTTATATTCTAGTTCTAACGGGAGGTACATGTCTTTCCAAAAACCAATTGATATGGAGACATACCCAAAGGGGTCTTAAAGGCGGTTCAGTAAGTCCATAATGCATTATCCAACTTGAGTAACCAATGCTTACGGTTTTGCTTGACAACTTTCTCTAAAATATTTTTAATCTCACGATTGAAAAGTTTGGCAAGACCATTCGTTTGTGGATGGTAAGTTGTGGCAACTCTATGTTGGATGTTGTATTTGCTAAGAACGACACTTAGAATTTTGTTTATGAAATGAGTCCCTTCATCGCTTATCAAGGCTCGGGTAGTTCCAAAATGGACAAAAAAAATTATGTAAAAAATCCATTACCATTTTGGCATCATTTCTTTGACAAGCCTTAGCGTCTACCCACTTCGAGACGTAATCAACCGCAACTAAGATGTATTGATTATTGAAAGACATAGGAAATGGTCCCATGGAATCAATGTCCCAAATGTCGAAAAGTTCAACTTCTAAAATATTGTTTAAGGGCATCTCATTTTGTTGGGACAAATTTCCCATTCTTTAGCATTGGTCACAACTTTTCACAAACTCAAAAACATCTTTAAACATGGTGGGTCAAAAAAATCCACTTTGTAAAAACTTTGCCGCCATACATTGTCCACCAAAATAGCCACCGTATTGGTGAAGCATGACAATCTTTTAACAAAGCTTGGATTTCATAATCCGGAACACATTTTCTCAAAATTTTGTCTGCTCCCATTTTATAAAGAAATGGATCATGCGACAAATATTTCTTGCAATCATGAAGAAATTTTGTAAACCGATTTCCCTGAAGATGATATGGTTTAAGGCTACATGCAAGATAATTGGTGATATCCACATCTAAGGATCTTCTTTTTGAAAATGTGTTGAAAAGCCAAAACATATTCATTCGGAAAAATTTCCTTAATCTCATGACTTTCCCCACTTGACACCTTCCCTTCAATTCTTGAAAGGTGATCGGATACTTGATTGTCACTTCCCTTGTGATCAATAATCTCTAAATCGAATTCTTAAAAAAGAAGAATCCATCTAATAAGTCGTGAATTAGCATCAGCTTTATTAAAGAGATATTTGATGGCTAAATGATCTGTGTGCACGGTGACTTTAGTACCAATCAAATAGGATCGAAAACGATCAAAGACAAACACTATCACAAGTAATTCTTTTTCCGTTGTGGTATAATTTAATTGAGCTTCAATAAGAGTCTTACTTGCATAGTAAGTGAAGTGAAAAATCTTGTTTTGTCATTGCCCCAAAATGGCACCTACAGCTCAATCACTTGCGTCACACATAACCTTTGGTCCAATTCGGGGTAATGATAATAGGTGCCGAAACAAGAGCTGGTTTGATTGTTTCAAACGCCTTTTTACATTAGGAAGTAAACTCAAAAGTTTGGTCAACATGCAATAAGTTACATAAGGGTTTTGCAACTTTAGAAAAATCCTTAATAAATCGACGATAAAAACCCGTATGTCCCAAAAAGTTACGAATGACTTTGACCGAAGTTGGTTCAGGCAATTGCATTATTACCTCAATTTTAGCTTTGTCAACTTCTAGACCCTTTTTAGAAACCATATGACCCAAAACGATTCCTTCTTGTACCATAAAATGACACTTTTCCCAATTTAAAGTTAAGTCATGAGTCTCACATCTTTCCAAACTTTTCTTTAAGTTTTCAAGACAATCTTCAAAATTGGTGCCAATAACTGAAAAATCATCCATAAAAACTTCCATGGTATCCTCAATCATGTCTGAAAAAATTGACATCATGCAACGTTGGAAAGTAGTTGGGGGCATTACACAAACCAAATGGCATACGTCAAAAAGCAAACGTTCTGAAGGGACAAGTGAAAGTGGTTTTCTCTTGATCTTCGGGTGTAATGTGAATTTGTTTGTATCCCGAGTATCCATCCGAAAAACAATAAAATTCTTTTCCGACCAATCTATCTAGCATTTGATCAATGAAAGTCAAAGGGAAGTGATCATTCTTAGTAGCTAGATTCAATTGCCTATAGTCTATGCATATTCATCATCCGGTTCCTAGTTGGGATAAGTTTGTTTCTGTCATTGGTGATAACCGTGGTACCATCTTTCTTTGGTACACATTGTACCGAACTTACCCAACCATTACTAGAAATGGGCTATATGATACCCGCGTCTAGCCACTTCAAAATTTCTTTTTTGACGTCTTCTTTGAAGTTGCACCTTTCCAACACTATTTTCTTCCAAAGTTATCTTATATTGGCAAAGAGACGGACTTATTTCCGTAATATCTATTATGGTCCAACCAATGGCTTTCTTGTGATCTTTCAACAAATCTATCAACCTTTCTTCTTGTTCACTACTTAAGTTGGAAGAAATAATTACAGACAATTTTTCTCCTTCCATAGATATGCATACTTAAGATGTGTGGGAAATTGTTTTAACTCTAAGTCGGGTGCTTTTGCAATGGATGGGGTTTGGGTAGGTCTATCCTTGAAGTCCAACTATTCAAAGGCAGTTATATCCTCAAATAGGTCTTCTTCATAAATGTCTTCTACTATACTAATAGCTTCTACTATACTAATAGTGTCCCCACTGTGGGCACAATTTATTAAACTTAAATCTAGATTTTCAACTATAGAGTAAATAGACAAACAGTTCTCAATTTCTCCATTGAACTTAAGGGATTTAAATACATTAAAAATCACTTGTTGGTCGTTTACTCTCATTATTAGCTCTCCTTTTTGTACGTCAATCAATGTTCTTCCCATGGCGAGGAAGGGTCTTCCTAAGATGATCGAGACATTCCTATCAGCTTCATAATCTAACACTAGAAAGTTGATTGGAAAGATAAATTTGTCCACTTTAACCAACATGTCTTCAATTTTGCCTTTTGGATACGCTAAAGACCTATCCGCTAGTTGCAAAGTCATAGTGGCTGGTCGGACTTTCTCTATTCCTAATTTGTTAAATACGGACAAAGGCATGAGATTTTATACTTGCTCCAAGGTCACAAAGGGGGTGACTTACTTCCTTCCCTCCAATGGAGCACGAGATGGTGAAACTTCCTAAGTCTTTTAACATGGGAGGGATTTTGCAAGTCAGGAGCACACTATATTCCTTTGTCAATAACACAGTTTCAAATTCACTTAGTATTCTTTTTTTGGTAAGGATGTCCTTCATTTTTGGGATGGTTTTGCCAATTTGGATTATATGTTGGGGAAAACGGGCTATTTGTAACATGACTCCCAACATAGTTTACCGATCCAGGGTTACCGGGACAACTCTCGAAAACATGACACTCACCACAAAAACACAAGATTCATTCATGGAAGGATTTGTCAAATAGCTTGCACTTGGTTCTTTTCTCTAGTTAAATTTAAACTATTTTTAACCAAATTAGTTAAAACTATAATTTGTGCATTTAAAGCGGTGATGGCATCAATCTCATGAATTCCCGTTGCAGTTTTGGGAACAATGGCATGAGGGTTTGACCAATTGGTGTTATTATTGGCAACTTTTTCTAAAATATCATATCCTTCGTTGTAAGTTTTAGAAGTGAAAGCGCCACCGGCCGTAGCGTCAAGAATAATTTTAGCAGCATTGGAGAGTCCATTATAAAATGTTTCCAATTGGATGCAATGAGGAATTCCATGATGATGACATTTCCGAAGAAGATCCTTGAATCTCTCTCATGCATCTGAAACCACTTCATCTTCTTCTTGAGGCAACATTAAAATCTCATTTCTAAATTTTATATTCCTCGTAGGAGGACAATATTTCATTAGAAATTTTTTAGCCAATTCAGTCCAAATAGTAATTGATTTTGGTGGCTGAGAATTTAGTCATGCTCTTGCTCTATCTTTTAATGTATAAATGAAGAGCGTCAAACGTAAGGCTTCTTTGGTAACTCCGGGAATACGAAAATGATCTGTCATTTCTAAAATTGATTTTAAGTGAGAGTCCGGATCTTCAGACAGCAACCCCCCAAACTGACCCAATGCTTGGATCATTTGGAACATTACCGATTTTGGTTCAAAATGTGTAGCAGTCATGTTGGGCCTACAAATCCTCGAATCCAATTTACCAAGTTTGGGTGTTGTATAGTCCCGTATTCCCCTATCTTTGTCATCGGCAATTTTAACCGTGGTTTCCGAAGGAGGTGGTGGTGGGTTACCCTCCATGGTTCGATTAATATTAGGGTTTTGCCGATTATTTTTACCTCTTCTTCGTCTATTTATAGTTCTTTCATTCTCAAGATCAAGAGATAAAAGTTCACCGTGTTGTAGCTGTGGCATACAACAAAGCAAATGTGTTAAGCAAGAAACAAGCGACCAAGGCTCAAATGAAAGTCAATATCTCATGATAAAAATTACTCCAGTCCCTCGCAGCGACGCCAAAAACTTCATATCTAAGAATCATAAGTGTTAACACAGTTGGCAAAAGTCCCTACAGTGGTGGTGCAAGTGCACGCCGATACTATAATCGCTTCAAGTAATAAAATGGTATAGTACCAAGATCGTTTCCACAGTGATGGACTATTGAGAATCAAAGAGTTCCATTAACTTCTTGAGCACGTTTTAGTTGTGAGTAAAAATCAAGTTTTCGTTGATAGAAACACTTAAAAGATGAAATAAACCTTTTTAAAGTAAGGGATGGGTATGAGTGTAAGTTTTCCTTAAGACGATTGTAGGAACAAGATGGTCAGAAACTCATAAAACTTCTATAAAAACTCCAATCTCTCGAAAGTGACTTTTCATATATTGTGTCCATGGAGTGTCCACAAAGTTCTTACTGCCATAGATTTAAGTTTGTCGAATTAGCTAAGTGATAAAAAGATATCTAGTTCCACTAGTATAAAGATTTATACTCAAATTTTTTTGTATTGTAAATCTTAACTAATATTTGAACCTTATCTAAAAACATGCAAAATCCGTATCTCTACGTGATTATCAAAGATTCTCTCAAATCTTTGTGCTTTACTTGAGCCATATTTCGAATCCGTCCATCTCTGGATCAAGGATCTGGTATTAACACTTTAAAGTGATCGGATTATCCGCGTTGAGTTTAAGTCCCAACTTTATGAGTCCATACTTAAGAATTAGTAACATTGGCAACACCTAAGTGTGTCTACTAGTCTTAAGTTTGACTCACACCCACACCCAAAAAGGGTGATTAACTCATAATAAAACTAAAGAACATAGAAGAAGTTGAGAAATGCATACGAAATACTTGAATTGAAATTTAACTAAAACTGTTGCCACAGAGGGCAGACAGTGGACTGAAACGTAACTAGAATTAAATACAAGACAAGAAGTAAATATAGAACATTAAACTCTAACTGTTGCTCTAGATCTTCAGATGAGAGTAAATGCTCCAAAATATATCTTCAGTTGAGAGTAAATGCTCCAAAAGATATCTTCAGTTGAGAGTAAATGCTCCAAAAGATATTTTCAGTTGAGAGTAAATGCTCCATCTTCAGTTGAGAGTAAATGCTCCAAAAGATATAGGAGAAAGAGAGAGATTGACATTTATTTTATCCAAGGGAAAGAAATATCCTTCCTACTTTAGAACAAAGACTTCATTCCACTTTTTTTGTAAGATCTTCTAGATTTGCTTGTCACCTTTTGAAATGATGCAAAAGAAAAGGATGAGCATCCCCTTGATTTAAGAAAAAAAAAGTACTTTAAGCCATTTTTTTTAAACAAAATGGTTCATCCCTTTAGATTTTGTGATATCTTCATAATGGACTGCAGTTTTAAATCCCTTAAATACCCAGAAAATAGGGTGTTTAACCTTATCTAGATCTGCCTTGAAAAAATTATCACAGTGAGAATGCAATGGGCACTGTCCAACAGTGACGATTTTCAGAATAAAATCAAATCATTGACCTTTCATCACCTCTTAAGAACATTTTAGACCAACAGTATAAGATAGAGATAAATGGGTACATAAAAGACATGAAAAATAGGAGTATTGAACAATAAATAACTCTCAAAATTGAGAGTTATCAATAGCCACGGTGAGAATGACTAGAATATTTCTGAGCGTTTAGATGAGTTGACGAGAATACGTTGATATTCACTTTTAGCCACTTTCACGAACAATTATATACATTTAATCACTTTCACATGTACTTGGTCACGTTGATAAAAATAAGTAAACAAAGGTAGATTAAAATATATGAAGCTTGTGTTCTTACATTTATCATTGCAACTCTTATTTGTCCATGATCCCTGCCTCGTCTCCGATAAGATGTCCCCGAACCCGATCCAAAAGTATCGATTTTCATTTTTCACCATCAATTTCGATTTTTTTTACCATCCCTATTTCACATAGATACACACATACACATATATGGGGGACAAATAAAAAAACCCACTCAAATGTTACATGCCCAAAAGAATCATGGCAACCATTCAATGGGTTTCAATTTTAAATAAAATTCAAGGTATTTTACATGTTTTATTCTTATATATGAGTGTTTCATAAATCAAACGTGTTAATATATTTTCTTCACATGTGAAACAGACATATATATTTCATATATATGAAACAATTGGACTCCATGTTTTACATGTATTATCTCATGTGTGAAACAACACATATAAATCGGTTTTCATGAATTTTAACATTTTTATAGTTTTCATTTGATTTTTCTCATACATGTAAGGTCAGATTCAAGGTTAGAGTAAGAGAACAAGATCAAAGTAAGAGAACAAGGATCATCGCGCAATGCAGCGAGATACATCTCGATTTTGATGCCTCATTTTATTCTGTCAACGTCGGTGTTATAATTATGTGGTATTGGAAAAACGATAATCTTTTTATTTTTTGAATAAATATAAATTTGAAAGTATCATAAAATTTTGAAAAAAAAATGTATCGATAATATCAAATTAAATATTTAAAAGTTCTTGTTTTTTTATAATTTATTTAATTCATTTTTTTTATAAATTAATTTAAATTTAATAATGAAGTCATTTAATTTTTATTTAATAATGTAATTTTTTATAAAAATAATAATTAGTATTTTGTTAAATTCAATAATTATCCTAATTAAATTTTTAGATTTTTTATATTCAAAATGAGAAATCCATCTTGTATTTGATCATGTTTATCTATAGTTAGTTACACAAATTGAAAAAATGAAGCTTTAATAAGTTATACATACGCACAATGTACTTGTGATCTTGAATTTTAAGTAATATGGATCAATAAACAATACTTCATGCATAAAAAATAGTTTTTAAGAGTTTGTCAAATACTTTATAAAATAGTATAGATATATATAATAAGCTAGGTCTTTTAAAACAGAAAAAACACAAACGCCCGTCCATCAAGACTTGGTCAATATAGTCATACCCGATATAACAAACGAACGATGATTTTGACCTTTGCCTCTATTTTCATTTCGGCCTTTTCAAAAGTTGACTAAAATATAATTTTCCTTATTCGTAGATTAACACTAAAGTAGTTGTTCCATGAACTAATCAATAAATCATAATTTCAAATTCTAAGTAATAACGTTTGAATTATTTATGAATATCAGTTCAAATATATTTGTTCACGATACAAGTTATTTGTAAGATTATTATAAATTTCATGTTCTGTTAATAAATTTTTTATAAATCTTATTTTATATTCATATGAGAGAAGGGTCGAGTTTCTATAAGAAATTAAGTTATGATGACAAAGGTAAAAAGAGATCTCAACATTTGGATCAATCTTAATTGAATATGAACACTAATGAGGTGTATCAAGATGCACCATCAATTCCTTTCTAAAACGTAATTCATAGATGAATATAAAATTAAAAATGATTAAAAGTTTAGATCTCTTACTATTCTTCTGCATATAACTTTTTTCGTCTTCACGTATAAAAAAGGGAAAAGTCTAACAAACTCAATGGATTTTAATGTTCGGAATGATTAAGTTCTTGGACAATTTTTTGGAACAAATAAGTCTTTAGATATTCCAAAACATGTTAAATAACTTCTTGGACTTTCAAAAACATGTTAGATATATTCTTATGACCTGAAAAACTTGTTAATATGGTAAAATAATGGAAAGAATTTGGAAAAAAAAAACAATGGACTTTCATATTTTGAACGATTAAGTTTCTAAACATTTTTTGAACAAAATGTTACTTACATCTATAAAATAAAACAAATATACCAAAAAGTACTTATATTTACAAAAAATATTTACATTTAAAAAATATTATTGATAGAATTTATTTTAATTAAAAATATATTTTATCAGTGATTTTGCAAAAAAAAAAAAAGGATTTTAAAAAAGTTNTATGTGTTTTTTTGAAAAAAGAAAATAAGAATTGTTCTCTTTTTACCAAAAAAAAATGATTTAAAAATAAAATATATTTCGTATGTAAATTTTTATATTAAAAATTAAAAAGAATTTAAAAAGGATTGTTGATGAAATTTACTTTAATTAAAAATGAAATTTATTCTATTGGTAATTTTTCAAATTATAAAAATAGAAAATAATTTGATTAAATTATTGAGGGATTAACGATAAAATTTAACTAAATACATAATTAGTTAAAATTCATTGCTAGTGTTCATTGGTATATATGCATGGATAACTTATATCTAAATAATGGTAATTTGACTACCATCAGACGCTCTAACACAGTAACATGTTAATAAGTGTAAAAGATCGTACTTAAAATCTTGTCGGTGATATCATTTCACCAACGGATTAGCAACAAAATTTAATTCATTATGCATTTAGT